TATTTTGCAGGCAGTTTTTACTTTGCCTGAAAATCTCTGACATTTCGATGTGTTTTGGTTCAAACTAAATAAAGTTCGGCGAATTAATAATTTGATAATTTGGGTCGGTCCAAATTCGAATTAAGTTCGGCTCATGAAAAGTTCGGCGTCTGAACTGGGCCTAAGAGAGACATCACCTCAGGTAATCTAAGTTTTGGAGCATCCTCCAATTTCAGGGCAGATCCCTGAAAGGTGGCTTCTGCACCAAGTAACTCAAACTGTCTTTCTGCTCGATCTAGAGCTCTCTTGGTCGGATTAAAGCCTGTATCAGATCCTTCTGGTCCAGATAATACATTTTGACAGTAAAATCTCCAGGAGAAAGCTTTCTTGCGTCGAATTTGGAAAGCTAAACTTGTCAAAAATCTGTGACAACCACCTCTCATATCCCTCTTTTCCAGCTAAATGGTAGGGAGCCTGCGATCTCCAAGCGGACGGTAACATCCGGGAGCTTCGCGCCATGTGGAGGAAAAATGGCGACCATAGTTGTGCCGCCAAATGTGGTAAAGAACTGGGAAAAATCGGGAAAAGATGATGTGTACGTTCGCTGAATTTTGTTGGAGAGTCTTTCTGACTACCAGATCCTTACGAATCTTCTATCTATTTGCAGTTTTCGGCTGTGTAAAAACTGCGTGCGGGGCAAAGAAGGAGAGCTGTCGCTGTCTGATTCGAACTTTCAGTGCGGGGAAAATGGTTCGTAAACTTGTCGATTGGGTTGGGAATTTTGAGCTCTTTCCTACAATCCATTCCTTTTGTGTTTTAGATCTCAAGCGCGTGATCTATGAAGTGTTTTGCCACGTTATTCGAGGCGATCTGAAGCAAGAAGATGCCCTTTCGTTGCTGTCAGATGTCACGGTAAGAAACACGTTGGTATTCTCTAATTTGAAAATCTGTTCTTTTTTCGTGCATGCCTCGTAACACATCAGCCAGTTAGTAAGTCGTTCTTTTAGGTTTTTCATTGTTTGGTAAAATTTGAGGATCAGTTTATACTCGCACTTTTCTATTTCTATAATTTAGGTTTATAATTTTATGATGTTGCTGGATTTATAAGCTTAATCATTTTAGCGATTGATTGATTGACGTGTTTTGTAAAGTTCTTCTTTTTGGAGGGGAAAAAACAATGTGCGCAAGGTTCCTAAACTGTTGACATACTTCATTGTTTGTCTGATGAGTTATGTAACTGCAGTTTGGAGCTCATGAACAAGTGCGAATCTTAGGATAAATGGTGATTGATTTCCAAAACAACAAGTGCCTTCTAGTAGGGTCCAGGGACATGCTCCCTTAGGAAATGTTCTGGATTTTTTTCATCCCTAATTTTTGGGGTTTCTGAGTAATTCTGAAAATCTGACCGATTTCCGTGCGATGGTGGAAACCGGTATGGATCTGCGCCTGATGAAGGCATACCAAAGTGTAGGAAGGGAAAATTTGTTTGTAATCAAGCATAATGCACCAGTCATTTGAAATCACTGAGACCCCATTTCCAACACCGTCTGCATGAATGGGGTGAATTTTCGTGATCATTCCCTTAAGAATTGTTTTCGGAACCTCTGCTTCATCCCTTGATGTTGCTTCTCCCAGATGTTTTGAAAGTAGCTTTCGTGGAGTGAAAACTCTCATTGCAAACATATTTCTGGACACAGTTAATCAAGGCAAAACCTTTGTTAATTTTTGCTTCTCTGCTTTTTCCCTCAGGAATTTCATTCAGGATGTGCATCACTGCTGGCTGACCTGATATGTATCTTGGGTACACAAGCTCTATCCAATTATTGCTGTTACTTTAAAAATATGTTTTTTGTTCTGTCTGATCTGCATAGGCTGACTGCAGTGTTCCCTAGAAGTACAGGTTTGCGTGATTGTGTGTGCTGTGTTTGCGCCCTATGTATCCTATGGTTCCTGGTGTATTCATAATCCTACAGATGTGGAAAGCCAGTGTGCGGAGGACAAGCCGAGCAGAGAAAGATTCCTGTCATTGGTCGCAGCTTTAGTGGTATGTTTTGGGAGCTTTTGGCACGGCTAATCACAGCTAAATTTTCATGAATACTCTGCAAGAAAATAATGCAGTTTTGGGAAAAATTTAGCCCTTATTCCCTGGAGTTATTAAACTGACATTTTCGTTTTTTTTTTCTGAAAATTTCTCACAGCCAAGAATGGAAAGGCGGTAAATGAGATCATAGAAAATCACTTAGTATAACTGTGCAAAACGTGTACTATGTCTGACTTGATCTATCACCAGATGTACAGAAATATTAATCATTTGAAACATATATCAGTAACCAAGGAAAAATATTTCTTTTTTTGATTCTGAGACTGATAAGGCTGATTTTTTTTTAAAATTAAATGATAGTGAATGAGCTTATAATTTTAATTCTTTTTACTTGGGATTAAGGTTGCTATATTTAATACCTATTGGTAAAACGTAATCTTTGGTACTTTATTTGACCATATTTGTGTTTCATTGCATACACATTGTTTTTAGGGATTGGTTCCAGAAGCTCTGCTCAAGGAAAGGCTGGATGTAGAGACACTGGACACATTAGGAATCATTCCATCGACAAAGGCTTTTAATCAGAAATATGTTAGGACCAAGACTAAACTCTTGTATGTATATAGTCACTTAATGAAGGCTAACAATTTTAAAAAGCGGTCAGAAGCCACGTCTGTTATTGAGGGTACAGAAACATGACAAATTGTATGTTTTACTACTTGCCTATTGATCAGATCTTGTAAACATTGTTTTAGATAAACTTTATTTCAAATAAAAATTTACAAAATCACACAATTTTTTATTATCATCTTAACATCATGTTCAATTCGCATTTAAAACATGGTTAATGTTGTTCAAGTTTCTTAATATTCTTGTGTTTGCAGTGAGACAAGCCAGCTTTTGGTAGATGAGTTTTGGAATTGAGGATCATTTTTGTAATTGAAATCAAGTGATGATAATTAATGAGCCTTTTCTTTTTTTGTTTTCAGCTACAAGCAACAGAAATTCAATCTTTTAAGGGAAGAGAGTGAGGGATATGCTAAACTGGTGACGGAATTGGGCCAGGAAATCAGTCGACATGTTACTAGTGCAACAGTTCTGGAGAACATCAAGTCTTTGATAGGTAAGAGCAGGACTCCCAATTAAAAATATTTCAAGTCTTATGACTGGGAACTAAGAATTGCCCAAACAATATTCTTTTGACAACTAGAAAATAGGGATTTTGCATCTTTAATAGTAGTGTAGCTTAAAAACTGGACTTGTGGAGTGGCTTTGAGAGGAATAGTTTTCTTGCTGGCTGTGCATGCAAAAGAGGCAAGAAGTGAAGTTTACACGTACTGAGTGGGGGCAGGGGGGCTGGGCTTGAACAGGGAGATCAGATACCACATTTGGTCATGTGATCCAGTTTGTTTTTCTTGCCATAAGAAGCAACTGCTTTCCCAACCACCAGCCCTTTTGCCAGTCTGCATACAGTAATACTTTGAGTAGCTGAATTGCAACCAAAAATACGGAAGGGAACACACTTAGACTTACACATTGTATCTGAGTTGCGACAAATGGCATTCAGTGTGTGAGAATATATATATATGTTATTTGCTGGCTGGGAGGCCCATATAGTGAAAACCTGTGACCAAGGTTTTACAGATTACAAATGGGTTTGTTTACGCAACTTTTTCATTGAATCGGCTTCTGCACCTTCTACTAACAATTTGTAGAAAACTCTTCGCAACAAGCAAGTAACTCAGATAGTAGACAAGAAAGATGTTTTAAAGAACAGATTTTTTTTCGAACAACTTTATGTTAGTTGCATTTATTTCACTAGTCAAGTTCCCCAAAATTGTTTTTGCAGTGTGAAATTTCGTGCAAAGTTTGAAGTTTTACCACAAAAACAATTTCTGTCAGTCGTTGCTTTTAAAATCACTTGAAATCAGACTTTTCTGCCGTAAATTGAATAGCAGAAAGCAAGGAAATTCATTAAGTGTATTCCACAGAAATTCTCCTTAATACAGCAACAATCAGAGAGGTAAACTCAACTGAAATTAACTCAAATTTTACGGCGAGAGAAACACAGGATCACGCGCCATTACAGTGCCAAGCTACAAACAACCAAGCAAACTCTCACAACTTCAAAACACTCAATTGAATTTGCTTACAGTGACTTTNTTCCCAACCACCAGCCCTTTTGCCAGTCTGCATACAGTAATACTTTGAGTAGCTGAATTGCAACCAAAAAAAAAAAGAAGGGAACACACTTAGACTTACACATTGTATCTGAGTTGCAACAAATGGCATTCAGTGTGTGAGAATATATATATGTTATTTGCCGGCTGGGAGGCCCATATAGTGAAAAACTGTGACCAAGGTTTTACAGATTACAAATGGGTTTGTTTACGCAACTTTTTCATTGAATCGGCTTCTGCGCCTTCTACTAACGATTTGTAAAAAACTCTTCGCAACAAGCAAGTAACTCAGATAGTAGACAAGAAAGATGTTTTGAAGAACAGATTTTTTTTCGAACAACTTTATGTTAGTTGCATTTATTTCAGCAGTTAAGTTCCCCAAAATTGTTTTTGTGGTGTGAAATTTTGTGCAAAGTTTGAAGTTTTACCACGAAAACAATTTCAGTCAGTTGTTGCTTTTAAAATCACTTGAAATCAGACTTTTCTGCCGTAAATTGAATAGCAGAAAGCGAGGAAATTCATTAAGTGTATTCCACAGAAATTCTCCTAAATACAGCAACAATCAGAGAGGTAAACTCAACTGAAATTGACTCAAATTTTACAGCGAGAGAAAGACAGGATCACGCGCCATTACAGTGCCAAGCTACAAACAACCAAGCAAACTCTCACGACTTCAAAACACTCAATTGAATTTGCTTACAGTGACTTTCCTTGCCATTTTAAGGTGAACTGAGATAAACTTACGTTGACTAATCGTCCATGGATGTGTAAAAAAGGCAAAAGATTGACGATTACCGCTAACTTTTAGGAGCGAAATTTAAGCAGCGGGGAAAAATCTGGCCCGTGGCCCGTATTGTAAAAAGCTGGACCAGTCACGTGTGTATGATTAGCCAATCAAATTCGAGGATTTAGGATTCTGGCCTGCTCAGATGCTTGAGAAAAAATAATAATTTATAACACTTTGTAATTAGTTCATTATTATAATATAGACTTTTACATGTATGTATTGAAACATAAGTTGACTGACATAAATTTTTTGTTGCCTTATTTGCAGGGCGGTTTAATCTTGATCCTAACAAAACTCTTGATGTGCTGCTAGACTCCTTTGAATGTCGCATTGATCTGGAAGACTTCTTCCTTCCTCTGTTGAAATCATACATGGAAAAGTGTGAATCTACTGCTCTCTGTCACATAATAGGCTTTAAATTCCAGTTTTATAAGGTGTGAAATAAAACATTCTTATATGAATTGCTTTTGTTTTGATAGGAGAATTACTGTTGAATAATTAGTTATTGATAAATAGTCCTTCAGTGTTCCTGTGTTAGGATGTGGTATCAGCAAACATAATACCCTTCAAATACATGGGAAAGATTGTAATATTGTAAATATACTTGTTTTGACTGATATGTCTTTTTTTCATGATCTATTTTTAGGATCAACCAGACTTAGCCACCCCTCCCTCACTCTTCCATTTGACAGCTCTGCTAATAAAACATGGACTCCTTGATTTGAATGATCTTTA